TTTTAGAGAAGGCCCTTCGTTTTTTTCTGGGCAGCTCACGCCATTCGGATTCATGAACTGCAGTTCTGGCAGTGCGGAAATCGACTGCGTGCTGTCTGGCGTAATTTTTTGGCTTTTTTTCCTTGTGGCATTTTGAACAGGATGGTGATGTAGCCGAGTGTGGGTCACCGCAGTTAATGCACTTTTCTTGAACAGAGCAAAAGTCTGTCCTCGTGCGTGGAATTTCTTTGAATTGTGAAACTGCATGCCGGACATGAACGAGGTTAACGTAGCTTGGCAACGTCGATCCACAGAAGACCTTCTGAACTTTTGCCTAGTCGTCGAAGTCGAGCAACACTGTTTTCAGGGGACCTTAAGTTGTTGGCGATTTCTTCGTCAGTCAGCGTGATGTCTACGTCCCTGATTACACCTGTGGCGCAATGTCTGGGAAGAGGCTCATACGCTCTGACTTTGATTCCACAGAGCACCGTGCAGAGTAGCAGCCCTCGCTTCGTGTGTCCGTTTCTTACGTCAACGGCAATGAGATACAGGCGGTTGTTAAGCCTGATTTCCAAGATACATGCAAGGAACATCTTTTCCAGAGAAAGGGACAGGTTTAGGTTGTTGTTGTTGTTGGATACGTTTTATTCATATTTAGAAGGGGTACGACGCGACCGGTTTCATGCCTTGTCGTGAAGGGGAAGGGAATAAGGATGCAGGAATGGGAGAGGGGGTGCGAGGGCGGGAGGGGGAGAGGGCTTACAGAAGGCTGGCCAGACCGGCCGTCCTCACGTAAGCCAAGAGTGAGTTGAAGACGCGCCTCTTGACGTCTGTGGGGCCTGTCGGTGCCGTCCAGGCCTCGAACGTCATTCCTGGCGGTGGACCGAGCTGCGCGAGTGCTATGTCCCTTTCCTTTCGCCTTGCCGGGCACTCCCAGAGCAGGTGGCGTAGGGTGGCGAGATGCGCTGAAGACTGGGTGTTAATGGAAGTATCGGGGATTAGCCCGGCGGTTTGACTGGCTTGAGGTGGCGATGTAGAAGTCGAACTACACCGGTCGCATATTGCATACTCTGGCGAACGTAGCCCGAAGCGGGCCAGGCGATACGGTGTCCATGCACAGCCGGTTGTGATTCGGCGTAGCCGGACCTCGGCCGCCCGCGGGTATCCCCTAGGGATGGAGGTCGGGCACTCAGGCAGCCGGGTGGACAGGCGCCGCTTAGTTTTGGTGCGCGGGTGCTGTGGCGGTGAAGGGCCTGTGCTAGCGTCGAAGCCAGACGGCGCATCCAAGGGTCTCTGAAGCGGCTGACCGGCCGAGGGGAGAGACAAGAACGCCCTTGCCAGCCGGTGCGCCGCTTCATTGCCCTCTATGCCCGCGTGGCCCGGAACCCAAGCGACCCTGATGTGTGCGGCCGATCCCAGGACCAACTCGAGTCCCGCTACAGCCGCCCGGATGGAGCAGACCGTTGGAGAGCGAGGGGGGGCCGAAGAAACACATGCCTTGACCGCTTCCGCAGAGTCTGTGTGCAGGATGATCTCGGTGGGAGATAGCCCTCTGGTGGCGGTGTCGCGGAGCGCCAGTTCCGCTCCCAGCAGGATCGCCCGGAGCTCAGCCCCCAGCGAGTCAAGGCCCGGTGGAAGCCGGACACCAGTGGTCGATCCCAAGGACAGGCAACAGGCTGCTGCGGCAGTAGATCCGGATTCGGAATCCGCGGCCGCGTCACAGTAATATCTGCGTACTTCGGGGCCGTCGGCGTTGACGTCACGTTCGTGCGCCGCAGCTTGGGATCGTCGGCGGCCCGGATGGCCGCCTCCAGCATGGGATGGCAGCATGGGATGACAAGAACAGATTTTTTCGGTTGCGCACCAGTCACTTAGCTGTGTTTGGAGATTTGTGTTTGTCCTTTGTCCCTCTTGTTCCTTTTCTCCAGGGATTATTTTAGTCATTGTTGTCCAGCTCGCTTGCACCTTTGCATTTAATTGCATTATAATCATAACCTTAAATTGCAAGCTTCCCCCTTGTTGGTGTTGGACTGGTGGCAGTTGATAAAACCTGTTTGCTCTACTGACGTACAACCCCTTGTTAGCTACGTTGGTAGAGCGCTCCACCTGTAATGGGGATGTCCCGGGTTCGATACCCGGACCAGGCGGATTTTTTCGGTCGGGCACCAGTCACCTAGCTCTGTTTGGAGATTTTTGTTTGTCCTTTGTCCCTCTTGTTCCCCTTCTCCAGGGATTATTTTCGTCATTCTTGTCCAGCTCGCTTGCACCTTTGCATTTAATTGCATTATAATCATAACCTTAAATTGCAAGCTTCCCCCTTGTTGGTGTTGGACTGGTGGCAGTTGATAAAACCTGTTTGCTCTACCGACGTACAACCCCTGGTTAGCTCAGAAGGTAGAGCGCTCCACCTGTAATGGAGGTCCCGGGTTCGATACCTGGACCAGGCAGACTTTTTCGGTCGCTCACCAGCCACCTAGCTGTGTTTGGAGATTTGTGTTTGTCCTTTGTCCCTCTTGTTCACCTTCGCCACGGATTAGTTTCGTCACTACTTCCTGCTTTTCGCGGTCTTGTATCAGGCGTTTGTGTCTCTGTCCGGCCGAAGCATCTGTGTTAGACTAAGACTGGGTTTTTTCGGATATGTGCAGGTATTCTTCGCAGCAAAGGGCTGCCAATCAGAAAGACGGGTTTTTTTTTCGGCTACCAAGAGCAAGTATTTTTAAAGTGAGCTATTGCCCGCCTATATGAGTGTTTGATGCTGTTTCCTACTACACATAGGAAACAGCATTCCTCTTGAATGCTGTTTCCTATGTGTAGTGGTCTTGCATTAGTATCTTGTTGTCTCTTTTCCGCAAAAACACCCAACTTCTACTAAGACCGCGTTCTTTCTTATACATGCATGTATTGGTGGCAAACACCAGCCAATCAAGGCCAGAAGTTTGCTCTATGCCGCTCATGGCAATTGTTTTCAAGTTGAGTGTTTGATGCCTATCTGAGTTGTGTATTTCATTCCTCAGAGACACTATTTCCTGTTTAATAGTGGTCTTATGTCAGGCTTTTGTGTCTGGCCAAAGCGTCTGTATTAGATTAAGACTGGGTTCTTTCGGATATGTGAAGCAATTCTTGGCAGGAAGTGACTGCCAATCAGGTACACGAGTTTTTTCTCGGCCAATAAGAGCAAGTATTCTCAAGGTTAGCTATAGCCCGCCTATAAGAGTGTCAGCATTCGTCAAGGAGCGCGAAATCAAAGCCCGGGGGTTCGCCATTGCAAAAGTGTTGACTCGGTATCGCATAGGGAGGAAGCTTTACAAAAGTATCCACTTGCCTCAACAAGTGGAACCAAAACTAAAAACGTGGGTGCATTAAAAAAATATTGTCAGGCCGAGTTAACTCGGGGGCAGCAGGGGGCAAACAGGCCACGGTACGAGTATATTTGGTTCAGGCTTTTGTAGGAGTGGGCGATGACTCGGTGTTTTCTTAAAAAAATCTATATTGTTTTCTGAAAGGGTGGTTACCGAATATTTAGGGATAGTCATTAAGTCAGGATGTTACGGTCAATATTTTATCGACGTGCCTGGATTCATGTGTCTTGTCCCCCTAGTGAGGGCACTCTCTTGTAGGTTTGAATTTGAAATCTCTGTTGCGTTATGTCCCCCAATCCAAAACGAAAATATGACACCGTCTTGCGCACACACTAATTGGATACCTTTTGGACACCTTTCTTGCAGTACCTCAGATGACAGCTGGGTCTGTAACTTAGTTGTTTCAAGAATTACGTGAGCGTTTCATATCCTGCTACTCCATTGTGAAATAAGGGTAATGAATTCAAATGAGCATGTGGGTATTTTGTTGTTTACTTCGTGGTGAACGACAGACTAAACCTTGATCGGAGTTTTCTAACATACTTTTAATGTGCTCGATTGTGTACGTGTGCATTCTGCACTAATGGACGAAAACTTTTGTAAATAATCGGGAAACTGTCTTGAAAATGTAGTTTAGATATTACTACCTAGCGACTCTAATTCTTTGCATAAACCCTGATTGTTAACCTTTTTCCACAGTTCCCATGATTCCACCGCAAGTTAGCCTCGTCCTGTTGAAAGGTAAGTTGCATTTTGAGCACAAAACTGCAGACTCTAATTACCTAACAATCTCTTCTAGTTTCTTTGATCTTCACCTTTTACTGCATATTCGATATATTTTTTACTTGAGTCCAGTGCTTCTCTTATGAGTTGACAGTTCGACTCTTTTTCTAACTTGACAAACAAAAGAAACAAGAACCTCGACATTTCTAAGAGATGTGGCTCGGAACGGAATTTCAACATTAAGGGTTACCAGTATTGATAATCTCAGAACGTGCTGACTGGGTTTACCAATATTGTAACCAATGCCTATTGGCTACAATATTGGTAATCGCAATTGCCACGTACGTACTGGAAATGCCATTTTCCATAATTCGCTAAAAACCATAAAATACACTTATTGGGTACAGTAATTGATTGGCCACCAAGAGCACTTATTGTATCCCAAATACAATTAACTATATTGTATTGGATTTACAATTTCTATAATACGATATCTAATTGGGCTTTTTCAATAGGGCCGGTAGACCTTTTCACGACCACGGAATAAAAACGCCGCAAGTGCCAAGATCAACATTTTTTTTAAACTTAGCCAGCGATCACGGCACCTTGGGAACCTTGGAACCCATCCTGGATTTGTGGCTGGTTTAATTAATTTTATACCAGTTTCGTCCGAGTTTGACTCCAGGGATGCCACTCACGATGTTATTTTTTTATATTTTAGTAATGTGATTTTTGCGCGTGCGCAATTTTTTTTTTGGTAGGGCCGGAATACCAAGAAAAAAATAAAAAATAAAAAAAATTAATTGATTATTTACAAAAGCTGAATATCTGAAGACGTGGATACCACATGCTTAGTTAAAAGGTCTTGTTAATCGCGCAATAGACTTTGTGGTATTTTTTGCTGCCATTAGTCCTACACAAAAGAACAACTAGACTTACCTTCTGGTATACTCGATGGCATCGACTCTCGTGCCCATACGAGCTGACTCGCAGTTACTAGCAATGTCAAAATAGTAATTGTCATACCAACCGGGCTCATTTCTGAGGCAACTTAAATTAATTAAGCTCGCGTATTATACTGTTTTCTGACGACTAGAAGCTGCGAGTGCAAGCGCTGTGTCGGGAAACGCTGTGATGATCCTCTTCGTTGATTCTCAAACTTGTAGCTTACTGTTGCGTCTATAAAACTGCCACGTAGAACGCAGAAAAAAGACTCCACATGAGTGTTTCAACTTGCAACTGAGTCTCTCATTGGTTTAGGTGCTGCACCGCTATGCATCCGGATGTAAATGCTAGGACGAATTGAACTTAAGTTGAATTTTAGGTGAACTTTCTTTCACGAGGCTCACCGCAATGAAATACTCTGACAGGTGCTCTGCCTCTTGGATTTCTCAAGGGGAGAATGTACGACCATTCATGACCCTGTAGATGACGTCAGGAAAGGTTTGCTTCCTGAAATATGATGCTTTTGCTAGCCTCGGAGTGCGTGCAGTCACCGACCTACGAAAACAATAGACTGCGGAAGCTAAAGTGTACAGCAAGATTTATAAAAAAGCGTTGGCGGATTTTGATGCCAAGTGGGCTTAGTGAACTGACGGCTTAACAGTGCGCGTGGCAAGTCCTGATCCCTTTATTATCAGTCCACAGCCGATAAAATTGTGACATTAGCTGTTAATAGCGTAAAAAGCATAAAGTGTGAACGTAATAAACCACGTCCTGCATTTCTTAAGGGAGGGGGCTGGTCTTTAAATGGTAAAAAGTTGGGGAAAAGTCATTTATGAGAAAATGGCGTTTCTGATTTTTAGACATGCCCACCAAGCTTTGTACAAAATATTATTGCTATATCTAATCTTCAAATATGAAAGAAAATACGAAGTCTTAATTTTCTATAAACATTCAATATAAATGCACAATCTTTTCTGTCACAAGTAGCGATGCCTTACAGGCGTCTTTTTAATTTGTCTTGGACAATATTAACACGTTTGGTGCCATTTTAATTGGGAAGAATTGAGCTGCGCGGTGATTCTAATTTTAATTTTATAGTCTTACAACTCAAGAGCTCTATCCAATTAATTAGTTTCTTAAATAACGAGAAAGCATGTCTTTTACGGAATAATTCCAACAGTTTTTTTAGTAACATAACCCCTCGGATTAGATATAATATAGCATCAACGCGCAAATTACACCTTTGTAAATGCAGTTGCATCAAACATTTTAATAATTTACGAATCATTTTTAACGACCCGTAGAAAATGGCCTAATTAAATTAGACTGATCTCCCATAATATAACTCGGGATTTAGTAAATACATTCAATATCTGATAGCATGTTTGAAATAGGTGCAAGATGTGTGATCTCAACGTATAATATTATAAGTATTTTTTTTAATAAATAAGAAAATTATTCTAAAGCCCAACATCCCCCTAATAAGCTATCAGCCAGTACAGAAGTCATTGCAACGAGGCAAGGTCTGACGCGATTGAATATAGTGCAATAAACTGACAATTAGCCTGCGCGACTTGGCAATTATGTCAGCATTGTAGTTTTAAGCATTGCCACGGGGAAACAAAATCGCTATTCGAATTTTGATTAAAATTAAACTTGTCTCGATCATTCTGACACACCAGGGGAGCTCGGAGAGTGGCGTGCATGCGTCATCTGCCCGTTGTGATTCCTGAAGCTGCAATCACGCTACATTGTACGAGAGACACGGACTTTCTCCGCAGACACGATTACAGAAATATCTGCGGATACGCCTCAGAAATGTCCGAAGCATGCTTTGCTTCATATACGCTTCGAACGTGGCTGCAGGCAGAGTTTGTATCACCGATGTTACGTTCATACGAGGAAGAGACACGCCTCAGACATCATCTGCAGACTGTCTTTTGTATGATGTGTTAGCACAGTTCGACCGCGGCTTTATGCATAGTTAATGAATGTTTCGGATGGTCACGGTGACGCGTTGCACGCACGACACACTCATGCGATCTTCGAGTTTGTTCGGCTGATTGAGACAAGCTCAAATTTGATTCAGGCGAGGTCGTGAGATTACGTGTGGGAGAGCTACACTGCGTCATTCGGGAGCCAGCTGCGTATGCTTACGGGAGCCTGCTACTACAGTGTACTGCTACTGCAGGTTTCTGCGAGTCGTCATAGTCCGGCTGCTTGCGCTCTCGTTTGCCTCGTCCTCGTGGCGTAGGGCTGAGAAATGCGTCTGGCTACGGATTGCACGATCCGTAGCCAGAGTTAATTCCCTCTGTGCCACTTGCTAAATCATGCTAATTACAAATAATTGAGTTTAATTCTGATAACACAGAAATAATTAGGAGGAAGATTACCTCTGTGCTTTTTTGTGCTTACGCATAGCCTGCTGTGGGCTTTGAATCCTTTGTGCTGTCTCGGCCTGCGTAAAACTGTTTTGCGTTACATTTCGCACTAAATCGAGCCCTTAAACGCGTTCTAAATTGAAAAAAAACAACAACAAAAAAACAAAAAAACTAACGGTTTATGTTTAGCGATAGGCCATCCAAGCCATTTTCTCAAAAGTCTGCCCTTTCCAGATATTTCGGTAGTCCCCTTCGCCGGAATGATGGTTCAAGCAGAGAAAGTCAGTCTCTCTTGGGAGAGGTGGATACCTGAAACAAAAATGAAATGCCTCATCATGGGCGCTGCCATATTGGTATCACATTACGCGGCAGCCATGAGCCGGTTACATTTCGTCGCTCCGCTCTCCCCTCCGCGCCTTGGCAAATGCCTTGTATTCGTGTTTTTCGTCGCGTTTCAGCGAATTTGCTTGCGACTTTGCAGTTACGACGTTTGACCCCACAGCTTCCACCCCGAGTTTTCTTTTGCCGCACTAGCGACGTCGCAACTGCGAAATCGCAAATAAAATTGGATAACGTAAATCGTGCATCACGTTGTAAAGCGTAGTCTATTGTTTACTTTTACTACTTAACCGCATTCTATCATTATGCGCATAACTTCTTTGGTTAAGTTTACAACACGCTTTGACTATTTTCACCGTCGGCGCACCAGATACATGTGAGCAGGTTTGAGGGGCAGAGGAATCAACGTTAGCATTAAGGCAGGTTGAGTATGTATGAGGTGACTAAGACAGCATTAGGGTTCAAAGGTCCATCACTTATGACAACTCAGGTTTGCACATTGATAGTGTCGGAAGATTCGCATTAACAAGCGCCAGGCTCATTTATGAGAGCGTTATAAGCATCTTCGGGAAGGTAATAAAACTAATCGTTGCATGAAGCCACTCTGTTTGTTCCCTGAAAGCATCACGCTTTGGCTTCATAAGAAATTGAAGGCAGCTGCTTTTGATTATATTGGATATACAAGGTAGATAAGTATTTTATCGATGTTCATCGTTCTTGAGACAGAAACATTCGCTTGATCGGTTTATTTATATATTTAAAGAAACTGTACACTTACAGCTTGGTCACATATCTGCTATGGTTCGGAGGATTTAATAATTATTTTAGGATATGAACTTTAAATTAAATTATTTGATTTTAGGAAAAAATCCGAGCTCCCATTGTAAAAAAAAAAAAAAAGAAACGGTTTGAGAAACCGTTTCTTCTTTTTTCCGGTCTAGAAACCGGAAATGGTTGTCAGAGACGGTTTAAGAGCGCCTGGGGCTCGCAAAATGTGACGCCAAAAAGAAGTGTCTATAGAAATCATCAGAGTGCAGCATTGTCGATGCGGTATAGGGATTTAATTCCAATCTACAAAGCTCTCTGTATAACTATATAATGATCTGTCTACACAGGCCCTGTTCCTGGCATTTGCAGGAGATAATTTCTTTTGCGCCCTTTAATTTCATAAGGCAACTTTGAAAGAAAACAAATGTCAGGCTTCGCTTGACTGGCCTGCCACTTATATCCTTAGCACGCCGTAGGTGAAGGTCTGTGTAAGTAAAGGTCTGTAAAGTAAAGGTCTGTGTAAGTAAAGGTCTGTATAAGAAAAGAAAGCACGGTTGGTGCTTTATTTTCTTTTTGGCGAGCATTGTGAAATGCTCTTAATAGTACATTAGCAAGGCCGGTTTCGTATTCGGCCTAGGATGAACTATGCAAATATTTTTATACTACTTCATTTCTTAAAGAATACAGGTCAAGACAATATCACTTCTTTTTGAGATATTCTTCGTCACTATGGGAGCCCTTTCAAGCCTACCAAGTTATCAAGAAGTCGGTGTCCGCGAAAATAAATAACTGTGCAGTAAAATTTGGAGTTAATCTGTTAGCGATTCAGCAGATTATCAATTGAGATTATCGACCGACTTTTTAACAGTGTAGTCATGCATTTGTCCCTGTATTAGTTTTTTTTTGAAGCAAGGTCAGCGGGTACGGCCGTGAATGCGTCATACCTTGACATCAGTTCAGTCGGTTCGACTCTGAACCTGGCCGAACTCAACGACGGACGTGATCAGATGCATCATAAGGTTTTCGTAAAAAATGAATTAGTTTTTACTTGAACCCACTTGCAGTTCTCGAAGTGGCTCAGTACCACTGTTTTTTTTTTATGCTTCAACAGACACATTTGCATCAAAAACTTAAGCGAAAAAAAAAAGAAGTTCGATAAATATCCAGCTAGCCGTACCGGCGGCTCCAAGGCAAAGCGCCGGCCTACGGATCCCCAGGTGGCAGGTTCGAATCCCGGCCGAGTTATTCGCAATCTGACGGAGGCTTATTGTGGAGAATGCGCCGAGCAATTGAGATTTTAGTTGCGCGTCAAAAGATCCTAAGGTGGTCGAGTTAGGCCTCAGTCCTCCGCTGGGAGGTGCCAGACGCTGTTCGTTGGTTTGGCACGGAAAATACTCCAAATTTGACTTTCGAACGTACAGCCAGGTAATTCACCGTGCTCCCCCTTCTCCTCCCCCACTTTTTGTGTTGGTTGCGGCGATTGGCTTTCCTAAAGCAGCGTTTGAACTGCTCATACGTCAATCAAATGTCAAGCTGCACGCAATGTTGAGGTGCATTTCTTGTATTCGCGGCGAGAAGTTTGAGTATCGCCGCCTGGTGGAATATT